GAGCGCCCCTGCGGCTCAGGCGGGCTCGGCCTGCGCAGGGCGGTGCCTCCCGGGGAGCCGGCACTCGGAAGCTAAGCTCATACAAACTGCTGGCAGCGGTACACCGGTTTTTAAGTCTTTTTTTTTAATAAAACAATTTGAGGCTGTATCAAAAATTTAGTAAAAAATTAGATTTGAGAGTTCACTGATTTTTATTTTTTTGACTATTAACTATTCCTGGCGCTTTTTTCCCCCCCATTTCTTTTATTAATCTCCTTTATTATTTTTTTTTAAACCTTTTATCTTTTCCAACAGCGTCTGGGCAGCGAGGCCCTTCCGGCACCGCTCTCAAGGAGCGGTCGAAGCAAAAAGCTGGCACTGCACTGTGGAGAAAACACCCCCCCTATCGCCAAAACACCTCCTGGGGAGGGTTAGGGGTTTTTTTTTTTGCTTAAAAAAGATCACCCCAACCCCAGCACTCGCCTCGCAGCGGAGAAGCTGTCATGGCGTGGGGCCCCGCTTGCCCTCCCACGAGATTCCCCTGGCACAGTGCTGCACCCCGAGGTGCAGGCAGCTGCCCCTGTGCTTGGCCAAAAGTACCCCAAGCCAGCTGATTACTATTTTATGATGTGTGAGAAAAATAGGATTTCTTTGATTAAAAAAAAAAAAAAAAAAAAAAAGGAAACCCCGAACAAAGAAGCCAATCTCCCCGAGGAGGAGGAGGCTGGCTGTCCTCAAAGGCCCCCCCTATCCAGCCCTGAATCGCCCTTGGAGCTTGCCTGCAGCACAGCACTGCCCTCCCCCTCCCCAAAACTACACCTCCCAGTTTAGGCAAAGAGCAGATTAAATGTAAAAACTTAAAAACATCGACTTCAGAAAGTCCCTTGAATTTAATTATTTTTAGGCTACCTTTCATGTTACGTCCTGTAGCTAGACACACGTGAATAGAAAAAACAGTACAGTTAGTGTTAAAGGCAAACAGCAGAGACCCAGAGTGCTACCCCAGTGCTGCCTGCTCCTCCCGTCCCCGACCCTGTCCCGTCCCTGTCCCCCCTCCCTGCCCGCTGCCCCGGCCAGAAGCCCAGCCGCCAGGAAGGTGTGTTTGAGCCAAGAATTTTTTCTATGAATAAAATAAAACCAAAGCTTGTTAGGCAAAAATAAAACGAGTGTCCCCCTGAGTCCCGCGAGCGCTCCGGTGTGGCGGGCACAGCCAGGGAGGGCCTGCTGGGGAGCAGGCTGGGGTTTCAGGTTCCCAGCTGGTGAGGGGGCTGCCGGCCCACAGACAGCACTGGTGTGGAGCTGGAGGCCCCTTCTCCCCCGAGAGCCTCCCATTCATTAAGGGGGGACGTAGGGCGGCGGGGACCTGTATGGGGTCATGTTCTTCGGGCGGGAGCCTTTCCCCTCCATAGGTGCAGTGAAGGGGGGGGGAGGCTGGTAGGGCGGCGCGTTGGGGTCCTCGTCCCGCAGCGGTGTGTACTCCCCAATGGTGTCCTGGTTGAGCGGTGTGGTCTCCGGCATGCTCTGGTTGGGGTACTCAGGGGGGGGCAGTGGGGCTTTCTCCTCCTGGAGGATGAGGGGCATGCTGGAGGACGGCGGAGGCTTGGAGTCATCCAGCTCATCGGCAAAGATGATGGGCACACCTTTCTTAATGAAGGTGGCCTGGTCTTCGATGGTCAGCTTCCCTTTCCTCTTCTTGCGGTAGCAGATCATGGCAATGATGCCGGCCACGAGGAGGATGGCGGCCACCACCACAGCAGGGATGACGGTGTGCAGGTACACATCATCCTCGCTGCTCTTCTCGGGGTCTTTGCCCGCTGCCACCGTTGGCGTCGCCTCTGAGATCACCCTTCCGTCTTTCGTCACAGGGATGAACTGGATGTGCCTGCAGCTACCGGAGCCGACCACCGACACATTCAGAGGCCTGAACTCGGGCTGCAAGACGTTGGAGAAAGCCGGGCTTGGCCCGCCAGAGTCATCTGCAATTTTTTTGCTCAAAGTCCGGATCTGCTCACGGGGGCAGGGCTCCAGGGGCAGCGTGTTGTTCGTCCACTCCACTACTATGGAGCCTTTGGCGATGTCCTGCACCGTGATGGTGCTGCTGTTCCTGTCGCCAAATGCCAGAGCCAGCTTCTTCACCAGCATGATCTTCTTATTGATGTCATTCACCACTGCATTGTGGTCCCCTTCCAGCCTGGCCTTGAACTTCACTGGAGACTTGTCCCCGTGTGGGCGTTTGTGGACATGGATTTCGAAAGCATCTACAGCAAAAAGCCCACCTTTGTCGGTCGCATACATGAAGTACTCATGCTTCCCGATGTGGTTGTGGTCTGGCATGCCGTACATGAGCTGGCTGGTGCTGTTGAACTGCACCCACGAATTCTCCTCTATCATCTGCTGCTCCTTCAGCTTCAAGGTCAGCTGCAGTTTGTCCGTAGTGGTGTCTTCCTTGTCGTAGAAGGTATCTGATGGTATTTTAACCTCAAAGTAGGTGCCCTCCCATGCGTCAACCCTGTCGATATGGTTTGTCAGCTTGGGTGGCTCATTTGGCTCCCAGGGCCGGGGGATCCCGCTAGCTGTGGTACGTACACGGGTCGGTGGGGAGGCCGTTGTCAACTTGGAGATGGGGGACCTGGTTGTGCTGGGAGGCTTTGTTGGACGGGGTGTTTTGGGTCTTCGAGTAGGCCTTCGCGTCGTCGCTGTGGACGAATCCGTCGTGGATGGCGTGGCTGGCTTCAGAGTGGAGATTCTGGGTTTCTTGGTGGTAGTTGTAGGCGGTGTGATCACTGCCGTGGGCTCTACGAACCCGGGCATCGTGGGGCGAATTGGCACGGAGGCTGTGCCAGTGCCTTCTGCTACCCTGGTTGGCTGGATCGGTCCCAGAGTGGGTGTCTGGATGATGGGGCCCCTTGTTCTGATGGTGACTGTAGGCTTCCTTGGCAGCGGTATGGGTTCCCGGACTGGGGGTGCCATTGTCTCTGTGGGAGGTGCGATGGCAGGCGACGTCGGGGTAGGGACAATCCTGGTCGGCGGTTCTTGCGCAGCAGTGGTGGGTGGCCCGATGGCAGCCAAAGGCGTAGGGGGGGCGTTGATCTGCGGGCGCATCCTCGTT